AGCCTTCTGCCCTTTTCAAGCAGTCTTAAGAAATTTCCTGTTCTATGGGGTGTTAGTGACAGTGACTTTTTTTTCCTGGTCGCTAGGTTGCGCCAGAGATCTCTCCTATTGTCCTTGGGGGGGCTGTTTTTCGCCTCCCCCCACCCCGTGGGACAGGGAACAGAGCGGGAATGGTAGGGTAAACCTCAACGGCTTTGGGGTGCTGTGTCTGCCTTGTGCCCCACCGTCGTGGCGAACCCAAGCCCCGAATTTCGTGCCCCGGGTCTCAGTTCAAAGCCCTCAGTTCCAAGAAGCGGGCTGTAGCCCAGTTCAGTGGCGCGGGAATGGCGCCTTTTGCACCCCGCTCCTGTGCCTGGGCGCCTGGTTCCTGTTCACTCAGTGAGGGCCTCCGAGCATCTCCCCGCAAGCCTAGGTCGCAGGCGCGGGGACCTGGGCAGCAGCGATCTGCGCGCCAAGCGCGCCACTTTTCTGCGCCAGCTTACCGGCAGCCCGGGCTGTGTGCGCGTCTCCCGGGGTCTTTGTTCTTCTCTAATGGCACCCGGAGCCATTTGCTCACTGCCGCGGCGAATCCTGCAGGGTTCTCCACAGCTCCCGTTCACAGGGTGTGGTGGCTGCAATAGTTCCTTTCCACTCACAGTCCCGCTTGCTGCGTCGTTTGTTCTTGTTGGCCGTTTTGGTTTGTTGTTTTCCTCCTCTCTGCCGGTCGGAGAGTGCCGCCTCTGTGGGCGGGGGAGGGGAGCAGGGTTCTGCGCTTTCCTCCCTTCTGGTCCTTTTTTATGGCCACTTTCTTCTTCGGGTAGTTTGCTGGCGTCACCCGTTTATCTTCCGTGTCCCAGTTCTCACTGGGACCTGCCGCTTTTCCTCCCTATTAACTTTTTTTAATGGGAGATCTTACTCGCAGCGTCTCCTCGCCGCCATGTTGCTCCGCCCCTCCCTCCTTCTGGTTTAATTTAACTTAGCATAATTACCTCTAGTTCCATCCAAGTTATCACAAATATGAGTTTGTTTTTATAACTGAGTAGTATTCCACAGTGTGTGTATGTATGTGTGTATATGTATGTATGTGTGTGTATATATCACTTATATATCATATGTATGTGTATATATATCACATATATGTGTGTATAGCTATATATCTATATCATCTCTTCCTAATCTACTCATTTGTTTTTGGGCACTTAGGTTGTTTCCATAATTTGGCTATTATAAATAGTTCTGTAATGAACAAAGGAGTGCATACATCCCTTGAAATTAGTGTTTTTGTATTCTTGTGGTAGATACCTGGGAGTTGAATTGCTGGGTCATATGGTAGATCTATTTTTAATATTTTGAGAAACATGTAAACTGTTTTCCAGAGCTGCTTGACCAGTTTACATTGCCATCTACAGTATACATTCCTACCAAGCCCTCTTCAACACTTGTTGCTCTGGCTCTTTTTGATGTGGAACATTTTCTCTAGTGTGAGATGGTACCTCATTGTGGTTTTGATTTGTGTTCCTCTGAGGATAAGTGATAATGAGTATTTTTCATGAGTCTGTTGGCAATTTGTATACCTTATTTGGAGAAGTGTTTATTTAGTTTTTCAGCCCATTTTTGATTGAATTATTTTCTTTTTTGTTGAGTTGTAGGAGTTCATTGTAGATTTCGGATATAAGTCACTTGTCAAATGTATGATGTGCAAATATTTTCTCCATCCAGTAGAGTGTTTTTATTTTAATTATGTTTTTTTTTTTCAGTGTGAAGATTTTTTTTTTTAGCTTGATGAAGTCCCATTTATTTTGTTTTTTGCATAACTTGCTGTTGCTGAGAAAGTCTTTGTAGGTGTTGGATATCAGCCAATGGGAAGATATTGAAAAAAAAAGTAACAATTTTATGGGCCCTAACTATACTCAATAAGTTTCAAACAAACAAACAAAAACCCTTCTATTATTTAAGTTCACTCTCTTCAAAATGTTCTGTGAACTACTTTTCTTTCCTCCTGTATAAAATTTCAGGCAGGTGCCATAGATTTCTTTTCGCTCTTGGAAAACAGCCTCCCAGACATTTTCCACCCCAAGAAGATTCTCAATGCTAACAATAATTAATAAAATGCAAATGTGTTGCAAGTCATACCCTTTTTCCTCTCCTCCTAATTGACTCTAGGAAACCTGCAATGAGGTAAAGCTCATGAGAGATTCCTGCTGTATTTCTTCATCATACATTTTTTTTAAAGAATTATTTATTTATTTATTTTTATTTTATTTATACAAGCACTGGATACAATCAGAAGCGCGGGAGGGTGAGAGAACTCACCAGAGCCAGAGCGGGGAGCAGAGCAGGCAGAAGGACCGAAGTACACTGCTGAGGGGAGCAGCGGGCGGCAGGAGAGGTCTGCGCACCATGTGGCACCCTCTTCTGGTGGCCGGGGAGCAGCCAGGGATCGAACCGGCGCTGCAGAGGCTGCGGGCAGCTTCGCAACCCAGCACTCAACTGCTGCGCCACTGGGGAGGCCCTCTTCATCATACTTTTGTATTTCTTCTCTGCTAACATACCATGGTTTCTGACCAAACTAGAGTTGGGGCAATGAGGAGAGAAGGATAAGGGAAAGGCCATATGGCCATCCATCTGACCACTGCTGCTATATTAAGATGCCAGTACTTGGAAGATATTTAAAGTTCAGTTTTTTGCAGAACATTTTTTTGTTTCTTAGATTCTTCCCTAGACAATATTCAAGAGGAATGCTTCTTGTATGACTTGGTGGCTTATAGTGTCAGCTGTTTTTGAGTGCTGCAACTTGCAAGATAGAACACCACAATGTTGTTTTAGTTTATAATTCATTTATGTGAAGTCTATCTCCCAGTAGCCTTTTTCTGTTGAATCCCCCAGAAGTCCCCAAGTATACTTTCTTAGGCAGAATGTTCTAGGCACTGACTTTGACTGCCTTTTCATTGGAGGAAGAACAGTATGTTCCCCATGCATCTGTTTCTCTTAGATCACTTCTGTCTGGCAAATGACCACTGTCTGCCAGTGTTTTCAGTCAATTGTACTTTTGTCTCTTGCGTGGGGGGGGGGGCGTATGACAAGTTCTCCAAGTAATCTTTTTGAAGACATTTTATTAGATCTGAAGAAATAGAACACCTTTACATATTTTTGAGACAACGTTTTTAAGCTGTAAGCCACAAATATGTAGACTCTTGAGATCATGGGCTGAGGGTGACTAAATTATTCAATATTTTTAAGCCACTCCTTTTACAAGTGCTGTAGCAGTGATCCAAACAGTGTCAGTGCCTCAGTAAAGGATGGGGGGTCCATGCATCCCTTGCATTCTTCTCAAACTTTGAATTATCACTGATCATTTTAACAAAAGTCATATAATTATACATAGTGAGTCATTAATAGAATGAAATTAAATAATGAGGGAAAGGGAGAATATGAGATTTTACATAATACTATAAAAGAGAGGAAAGTGATTACAGGAAGATGGCTTAATAGGAAAAGAAAAACTATAGTATAAAAACAGCAGATCTCTCCCATGAGCCTTAACTCATCGCATGTTTCCTAGACTAAATTAGGAGGAGAGGAAAAAGGATATGACTTGCAACACTTTTGCATTTTATTAATTATTGCAAGCAATGAGAATCTTCTTGAGGAGGAAAATGTCTGGAAGACTATTTTCCAAGACTGATAAAGTACAAAGTAAGACGTTGTGGGTTCCTGTCTTACAAGTTGCAGTATTTTTGAAAAACTGTTTGGTAAAACATGTTATTTCCAATGAGTCTGAAAGTAAATATTAGCATTCTTATCATCAACATGTTATTAACACTTTTTATGATGTGATTAGGGTTTGAACAAATTAAATGAAAAATGAGATAATCTGCATCATAGGTATTTGTTTTTTGACACTGTAGAAACAAGAATCGAGGTTTACTTGGATCAGCAATATCACCTAAAAAATGGAAAGCAGTGTAGAACCTACATTTTTTAAAAAAAAAAGTAAGAAGAAATGATATAGCTTCATGTGCAAGAATTAAACAGAAACATCCCTTTAGTGTGTTTACTCTTTGACAATATAGGTCTAATCATGTTCCTTTTTGTGTCTGTATTTTACAAAGTGATTCGCCAATAGTCTAAACACTATTTTTGGACAAGATAAAACTATTTTAGAACTTCTTTCAATATCTCCTAGGGTGACTGGCTTGTGCTTTTCAATCTTCATTTATCTGTAGAGGTGACTAATGGTGTTATTTGAGAATTGCAATGTATCTTTATTGTTTTAATTTTAAAACAATAATTTGTTCAAACACATGATTTGTGAATAGACAAAATTTCAAAGAATTTAATTTGATGAAAGAAGTAAAATTAGCACTTTTTAAAACATTTTGAACAATGGACAAACACAATCAGAAGGAATTGAATGATTTCCTTAAATTAGAAACAGTAGTCAAGAAGAAAATTGAAGATTAAAAATCTTAACAGTGTATGTTATTTTTCTTGAATTTTTGACACGAAATTCTAATCATAATAAAATACATAGGGGCCTCCCCTGGTGGTGCAGCGGTTGAGCGCTGGGCTGTGAAGCTGCCCTCAGCCTCTGCAGCGCCAGTTAGATACCCAGCCGCAGGCGAGGGTCCCACATGGCGCAGACCTCTCCTGCCAAGCCTGTTGCTCCCCTCAGCAGTGTATTTCGTCAGTCTGCCTGTTCTGTTCCCCGCTCTGTCTCTGGTGAATTCTCTCACCCTCCTGTGCTTCTGACTGTGCCCAGCGCTTGTATAAATAAATAAGTAAATCTTTAAAAAAATAAAATAAAATGCATAGATGTCATAGTATATAAAATGTAATTAAAAGTCACACAAAGATTATATTAAAACCCATTTAAAATGTATTTTTACAAATCTTTTGAGACTACATATTTTATAAAAAATATATTTTAATGGAAATTGTTATAAATCCAATTTACTTTAAAATGGATAAGTAATGAATATCTTTTATTCATATAATGTTTTCTTAGAACATTCAGAATATTTGAAAAAAGAAGAAATACAAGTAAAGGTATGTGGAACACTCATATTTAAAGGAAACTTTGGAAAGAAAAACATTATTATCCTTGTGGGTTTAATAGATTATCAGAAATACTTAAGTGCTGATATTGCAAAATTCATTTAACCAATGTATGTTCCCTTTTCTTTTATCATAATGAAGCTATCTAACTATCTGCAGGGAATGTTATAAAGATTAATTACTTCATTTTTGTAAGAGTTCATAAAGTTTAATAATATTAAATAAAAGGACAAGTGAAAGATTGAAATAAGAGCTATTAAACATTGTTGCAAACCCACCTATCATTATTACTTATAGTGATGAAGGTCACTGTTTCACTTGCAACATCTATTAATGTACAGTCAGAAAACATGATAAAATTTTATTAATAGTTTTAAGATTCTACTGTATATATTCTATGTATAAAATTTTAATGACAATTTTAATTAACCCTTTGCAATTTCTAATCTTTTTAATATTTTCTTTTCATACCAGTTTATTATATATCTTTTTTTAGCTCTATAATTCCTTTTACATCTCTTTCTGACTGGTATCTTCTTAAAAGAATGTATTTTTTTAATATTCTATCACTTTGAACTTTTTTTAGAATGTGTGCATTCTTTTGACTATATCAACTAATGTCCTTATTTAACTAGTTCTAGAATCCATATTGTAAGCCTCAGGTATCCTTTTCATTTTAGCCACAAAATACCATGTAAATTAACAGTTCCATATGGGTTTTTTCTATCAGTATCTCATAACCAAAATATTCAAAATGGCACATCTTATTAAGCTTCTTTTCTAAGAGCTGGGATGGTACTATGTATTCTCCAAGACTATCTTTATGATATTGTACCACCAGGTGAGTTATCTTCTCTGAGCTTTAGTCTCCTTGTCTGTAAATCGGGGTTGATAAAAGGTTGTGACTTTTGTGAGAACTGTTAGTAAGTGTGACATGTTTTTAATCGTATACATTAAAAAATATGTTATTGTTGTTTCTCCTTTCTTGGTAAGATAACAAAAACATAGAAACATACTTCAGTTATGCATTCAGTAAGTTCCTTAAAATAAAGTCAAAAGAAAAACATTTTTTAAAGATTTATTTATTTATGCATACAAGAACTGGGGTACAGGGCATAGGTGTGGGGGTGATAGGATTCACCAGAGACATAGTGGGGAATAGAACAGGCAGATGTACTGAAATACACTGCTGAGGGGAGCAGCGGCAAGACTGGAGAGGTCTGCTGCGCCATATGGGTAGCTCCCTGGCCAGGAATTGAACTCGTGCTGCAGAGGCTGCGGATAGCTTCATAGGTTGTGTCTTAACCCCTTGTGCCACCAGGGAGGCCCAATTTGTTAAAACTTATTAGAAAAAACATATGTGTAAGCCAAACAATGACAATTTAACTCCAGATCACCTCATGCTGTTACCATGTTATCTTTGGAATTCTCTTCCCACTCTTATATGTGGTAAACTCCAGTTATCCTTTGGGCCATGTAGAGTCAGTTGCTTTTTAAAACCCTTTTTTTCCATCTATCCTTTATCTCTTTCTTATACTACTGCTACTCTAATAAAAATATACATATATGGTATTCATGCTTATATATTTAAACTTCATATATAAGTATGAATTAATCAGTGATTTATTCATCTGTTTACCACTATACTTGATGGTATGCTATAGAGGACACAAGCCAAAATTTATCATTGAGTGTGTATAGAATAGTATTCTGTGCATGATGCTTAGGAAACATTAATTAAATTTCAATAATATTTAAACTTTTTACTTTGCTATTTGTGAATGTCATAAGATCACTTTAACTGATTATTCTGGAATTGTCTTCCATTATTCCCTCAACATACAAGGAAGAACAAAGCTCAGAAAAAACATTTATTTTCTGTGATATTTTTTAGCGTATTAACACAAATCGAGACAGAAGGTAAAATGTTGCAACTATTATGGAACATCTGTCACAATTTGTCTGAATGGATTTGCTAATTTCGAGTAGCCAGATAGATAATAAATTATGAGATTTAGAAGGACCAAAGTTGTGCCATTCTTGAACTGAAAAATTTTAGTTGAAATGACTTCAACTATTATAAAGTAATTAAAATGACTTTTGGGCCTCCTCTGGTGGCACAGTGGTTGAGCGCTGGGCTGTGAAGCTGCCCGCAGCCTCTGCAGTGCTGGTTTGATCTCTAGCTGCCAGGCGAGGGTCCCACATGGAGCACAGACCTCTCCTGCCAAGCCCGCTGCTCTCCTCAGCAGTGTATTTCGTCATTCTGCCTGTTCTGTTCCCTGCTCTGGCTCTGGTGAATTCTCTCACCCTCCCACGCTTCTGGCTGTACTCCGTGCTTGAATAAATAAATACATAAATCTTTAAAAAAAGACTTTTTATATGAGGAAAATGGTATTTTGAGGGCATTTATTTCCTATAAGTAAATATTCAAAAAATAATGGCCATTCTATGTTAGAGAGTGTGTGTGTGTGTATGTGTGTGTGTGTTGTGTGTGTATGTATGCATGCCAAAGAGGAAATTTACTTGGTAGGAACATAGAAAGACCTAGCAATTTAAATCAGTTTATTGTTTGATAATTGATAAATTCAACAGATGACATGTTTTTGTGGTACAAATATCTCTTTTATATTCAAAGGGAGCCTTTGAATACCTTTTGTGTCACTTGAATTTGTGTATACAACTATAGAATATGTTTTCTCGAGTACGCTAAATTCTAAAATGATAGTGGTGTTTCCCTTACAGGGTTGGTTGTGTCATTAAATGGAATCATGCATGAGAAATAAGTGGCAAAGCTCAATTAAAATCTAGACCCTGAAGAGACAACCAGATTTAATACCTCAGTTTCTTCCTTCCACTTACTAGCTATTCAGTATGTCTGATTTACAGTTGTGTTTCAGAAATATTGGAAATGATGCATTTTTTCATCAAGTATATTTAGTTCTAGGTGAAGAGACATCACTGATGAGAAAAAAGTGTAAAAGCAGTGAAGTTTCTGTTCCCATGGATGCAAAATTCTATTGAAGGAAATGGAATTGAATGCACAAACACACATACAAAAGCTATATAATTACAATGTGATATATATTATAAAGAGGCTTTTGTAGCTAATGAGAAGTGACATTTGCAGTGATGAATATCATGGAGGAATTGATATTTAATCTAAGACCCAGAAAATTATTAAAAGCTGGTCATGCAAAGTAGACAATATATTCCAAACAGAAAACAAGCATGTTTAGGAATTTTTGGAAGTGACTGATGAAAAAAAAATCTACAGAATTAATTATAATTCACCTTTTTTTTCACAGTAGAACTGGGGTGTAGGCCAGAGGTTCAGGGGTGGGAAGGGGGTGAGAGGATTCACCAGAGACAGAGTGGGGAGCAGAACAGTCAGGACCACTGAAATACACTGCTAGGGGAGCAGCAGGTGAGACAGGAGATGGCCGGCAATTGAACTCATGCTGCACTAGCTGGTGATAGCTTGATAGCACTGTCTTTAACCCCTATGTCACCAGCGAGGCCCCTAAGAGCAGATCTTATTAACAAGATTCTCACTGTATTTGCCTTTCATATTTCATTAAAAGATAATTTCAGTAGGCATTATCATTTTTCATACTTTCATATTCTAGGAACTGCTCTATAGTATATTTCTTTTTATTTCATCATAAAATAGATCATAAGTAGATTTATAAGCTTGTCTTCCATGTGGTTATAATTTTACATTGATTATTTCATGATATTAGATATAAATAGCCATATAGCCTACTAATTAAAACAGATCAGACTCTTATCTGTTTTTATTTGTTTTTAAACTGACATTTACAATCACATCATTGAAAATTTTGAAATAATTTTATCGTGGTTATGGTTTAACTTTTTTGCAATGCATAAATTAATTAAATATTCTGCTTCTGTACATCATATGAAAGAACTACAGCTTTACCTAAATATCTTGAAAATTATCATGCATTGAGTATATTTAAAATGTTTTAATTAAATTTGTTAATTTTTTTGGTGTAGCATTGGTGCACAATATTGCATGTGGTTTCGAGGAGTAGTGTCATACCCTTAGGTAATTGTTTGCACATCACTCCTACCATCAAGGTACTCTTAGGGATCCACCATAGTCCATTATACCCCTTCCCCACTCTGCTCTTTGTCATCTGGTAGCCTCAATTCTACATTCAGGTTTCTAGGGTTTGTTATTAGTTAGACTTGATATAACCCTTTGTTTTGGATATTTTATATCCCATATATTGGAGACATCATCTAGTATTTGTCTTCTTCCTTTTGACTTATTTCACTTAGCATAATCCTTTTCAGTTCTATCCATGTTGTTGCAAATTTTAAGAATTCTTTAAAGAATGCAAACTCATTCAGTACATTTATTTTCTTGAGATACATACATCATATAATGGAAATAGATGTTATAAATATCTTTCCATTGCTAGCTGTAGATTAAATGGGTTTCTCTTGTGACTCCAGTGTTTTTTTTTTTTTTCCCTAGTTTGCATCTGAGACTCAATAGCTGGCAATCCATAGGACACTCAGTGGCGTTTATCTTCCAGTAAACATAACCCATGGTTTCCCATCCTGTAGTCTTGGTGTACCATCAAGGTACCAATTCAATCCCAGATTTACCCACCATACTTCTTTACCTTTTATTAGACTGCCTTCTCCAATGGAGTCTAACTCATATGTTTAGAAGGGAAACAGTATGAGGGACACTTTCCACTTTACTACCCCACAATTACAGGCTCTTCTTTAGAGCTCCATTTAATTCACCCTTATTAAGTAATCTCCAACATAGGTATAAATAGCTAGTTAATTTTTATAGGAAGGTTTAGGTTACTGTGTATTTTCTTCTGACTGAACCATGATTCACAAACACACATGCATGCACACTCACATAGTGCAAAGTTGTATTTAAGACAATTAGCATTTACTAGATTTTTTGATACTTGGCTTTGATGTGCTCTTTAAGTTCTCATATA